TCAACCTTTTTTGTTTGAGAAACTACCACCTTCTTTGCTGGAGTTGTGGCAGCCTTTTTACCTTTTTTTTGAGGGATGATAACCTCTTCTCCACTGCTATCTTCTTCTTCATCTTCTGACATTTCCTCATCTTCACTGTCTTCTTCTACCTCCTTTGGAGGAGGAGCCATTTTTTGGGGGTCACCTTGAGTTTTACAGCCTTAGCGAGCTTCACCATGATGGTGGCTTACGATGGCAGAGTGTGTGGCGGGCGGGTGGCGCAGATGAGTCTTGAGGAACTCCAGCGACGTTGATGGCGGCCGCGAGCACTCTCTAATACATATTTGATCCCCTTTCTTATACACATCTCTTAGGAAGTAAATTCACTTGGAAATACTTTTAAAAGCTACCAAGTTTCATTGGTTTTAGGTGATTTTTTATTTTAGATTTTTCTTTCTTTTTTTCTTTCTTTCTTTATTTCTTTCTTTTTTTTTTTTTTTTGAATTTGTTACAAGGGATGTGTGCTTGCTGGAGGGAACGAGAAAGGGAAAGTGAGAAATCATTCCCCCAGGAAGGATGGTCATGCTGCAGTCCCCTTTCCTCCATTCTCCTCTCCAGAATTTAGGCGTGCAGGCACAAGTTTGTTTTTCAAGCCACTGGATCAAGAGCTCAAACTTCTCAGTCAGCCATGTAGGATCCAGCTGCCTTAACTACTACACCACTGACTGGCCCCTACTGCAGGTTTATCTTAACCAGTTTGTTTTTCTATGGGAATTCTATGATTCCTAGGTTGAGAATTTTTCACCAGCACATTTAGTTACCAATTTTGCAAGGTTCCCAAGATTATTATTCACCTGGGTCAATTTTTATGTTTTGACTTTGTTTTTCCCACATCATCATAGTGGTATAAAGTTTAGACTCCAAAACCACATGAAATGTAGGCCAGGCTTTCAATTTTTCAAAGATTATTTTCTCCACTGCCTCTCAGAATTAGAGAGATTTAGTCCTCTTTGTTTACCTAAGCCATTATATGCAATATTTTAATCTCTGTTATACTGGCATTAAAACCCTTTAAGCATCCCAATTTTATAACATGTAAATTCTAAATCCCTAATTAGCCAGAAATGAAATTATTTTCTGTGACTCTGCCTGAAGAGTCACAAAACACCTAGTCATTTCTGGACCTCATAGATACTCGTATTTCCCAGTGAGTAGTGTAAGTACTGACTGCTTACCACCCTGGATCTCAGTTGCAGTTAACCTTTTGGTATTTGCTTCATATGAGTTGGTCATATTGTTAACATTTGAGACAACATCACTAGGGATCTATAATGGGATGATGATTTCTGTGCTACCTAGTCTGTCTGCTATTTTATTATAATTCGAAATCTCTTTAATTCAGTTATAGGCCTATATTGTCTGCTGTGGTCCCATTTTTACACCTTTCTTCACTTGTTACTTGGTGTGTGTGTGTGTGTGTGTGTGTGTGTACACGTGTGTGTCCTAATAATTGATCGCCTTTGGCGTTAGACTGCATCAGTTCACACATAGCCTTTAGCACTTTGTAGCTTTGTGACTTTGACAAGTTATTAATTTCTCTTTGTCTTCATCTTTTTTTTTTTTAATTGCCAGAAGGTGAGTGCACTCACCAGAAAGAGAGAGATTTTGAGAGAGAGAGAGAAAGAGAAAGAGAATCTCTCAGTAGAGTGTGGTCACACCACAATCCTTTTTTCTCCATTTCTCCATCCTTCAGGATTTTGGGCATGTGCATAATGCACACGTGCTTGGCATGTTTTTCAAGCACCAGTGCCAAGATTCAAACATAGTCAGCCATGTGGGATTTGGCTCCCAATGCATAGTGCTTAGTTGTTGTGCTATGGGCCTGCCTTTGACTTTAAAACCCATGCCAGACACATGAGCATGTGTGCCCAAAATCCTGAGAGGAGAATGGAGGAGAAGGAATTGTGGCATGGCCATCCGCCTAGGCAGTGATTTCTCCTCTTCTGTCTCTCTGTTTCTCTTGTGTGCGCATGCACCCTATGGCAAAAATCTATATAAAAAAAAAGGCATATTAATTGTACCCATATTATAGAATGATTATGAAGATTACATGAATCACATAGAAAACACCATAAAAGGGTGCCTAGTATATATAAAGAACTCACAAAATACTAGCTATTTATATTATTAACTATTCAGTAGGTGATTCCTAAAAGTCTTAAAAGTTTTGTTGAAATATTAAGTTGTTGGAGGTCCAGCAGATGGCGTAGTAGTTAAAGTGGTAGATTCCCACACAGCTAACCATGGTTAGAGTACTGGACCTGGCCACTTGAAACCAGTCCGGGATCAAGAGTGTATGTGCCCAAAATCCTAAGAGGAGGATGGAAAAGGGATCGTGATGTGGCCATCCCCCCACGCGGGGGGAAGGGGAATGACTTCTCACTTTTTCTGTCTCTTCGGTGAGTGTATGTACTCTGTAACAAAAAAAATCTCTCTAAGGAAAAAAATAAGAAAAGGTTGTTGGAAAAGTCATGACACACATTTTTCTATGCAAATGTGTGTCATGACTTTTCTGACAATCCAATAGTTTTAATTATTTGACACAGAAAAGTGAGCTAGGATGGAATTTTAACCAACTATTGTAAATCAGTCATCTTCATCTCATATGCCAATTCAGTATCAGGTTTTTAATGTCAACATGTTTAATTTTGACCTTCCAGATAATATGGAGGTGGACTTAAAAGATTTATTAATGGAAATGAAAGAAAGTCCACATTTTAAGAAGTCTGTGGGTAAGTGAATATTTAAAGACTATGAAATGATATTTTAAAAGTTACTATATGGATTTCAAGTTTTTAATTTATAGTCTCTCTAGTTTCAAAGGGATTCAAAACAGCTTATGAGTTGTACTATGAGAATAGAAAAAAAAGCAAGTGAGGAAAATGGGGCAAATATATAATGAGGAGAAAAAAAATAAGAAAAGGTTAAAAGTACTGAATACCTTTGCTGTTATTGCAAAGACTATCCTCAAGTGTTGTGAGTTTTTCCTTCATTCAGGGAATTAAATCAGGTCTGAAATTGGATGAGAAACCACCTATTTCTTTTTTATGTGATCTCAAGTCAGGCTTCTGGAACTTTTAGGTGTACCCAATTAGACTGCCCATCTTTTTCAGTTACAGAAATCCTAAATTTCTGCAGTATCAATTGCTGTATTATTTCTATTACCACACCATCTCTGTTGCCTCACCACATCAATTTGCCCCTCATATTTAAGGACTGCTCATGGCTTCTGGCCCCTGAGGTTCCTCTTATCCTCCTCTAAATTAGAGAGATCATTTCAACACCAGCATCTTTTCCTAACCCCAAGTCTACAAAGAACACCTGCCAAAGAACTTGCCAGTGATTCAGACATCCCTATCAATGATGTATTACTAAATGCTTTGGTGGCGTTTAAAAATTAGATGTACACTTTTAATTGAGATATAACTCATGTACACAAACTTTGTGCTTTTAAAAGTGTACAATTCAGTAGGTTTTAGTATATTAACAAAGTTTTGCAGCCATTGTCACTTTCTATTTTCAGAACATTTTCATCACCCCGAGAACCTCTGTACCCATGACAGTTATTCTCCATTCCCACCTCTCTCTGATAGCCACTAAACATGAATTTGTCTACTTAGAATATTTCATATAAATGCAGTCATATTTTATATGGATTTGTGTGCCTGACTTCCTTCATGTAGCATATGCTTTCAAAATTCTTTTGTATTATAACATGAAGTAGTACTTCATTTCTTTCAAGGTGGAAAAATATTCCAGAATATGAATATAGCACATTTTATTAATTTACAATAATTATCATTTGATAGACATTTGTGTTGTTTCTACCTTTTGGCTTTTATGAAAAATGCTGCTACAAACATCTGTACATTGTTTTGTGTAGAACTTTTTGTGTGACCATATATTTTTATTTTTATTGGGTATATACCTAGTAGTAAAATTGCTAGCTCATATGGTAACTCTATTTTCAACTCTCTGAAGAGCTTCCAGTGTTTTTCAAAGTAGCTACGCCATTTAACATTACCACCAACAATCTATGATTTCTTTACATCCTCAACAATATTCATTATTTTCTGTCTTTCTTATTGTAGCTATGCTAGTATTGTAAAGTATCTCATTGTAGTTTTGATTTGTAGTTCCTGATAGCTAATGATGTTAAGCTTTTTCTCATGTGCTATTTGGGCATTTGTGTATTTTCTTTAGAGATATGCATATATAAATCCTTTGCCCATCTAAAAATTTGGTTATATTCTTAGTGAATTGTAAAAGTTCTCTATATGTTCTTGATACTAGACCTTTATATGATTTGCATTGGTTCTCCCATTTTGTTGATTGCCTTTTTTCTTTCCTGATGATATCCTTGGAAGCAGAACGAATTTTAAATTTGGTGACATCTAATTATACTTGCTTTTGTTGATTCTTCTTTTGGTGTCTTATCTAAAGATTATCCAACATCATGAAAATTTACACCAATGTTTTCTTCTAATTTTAGCTCTTTTATTTGAATAGATTCACTTCTAATTTTTTAAAGATAATTTAATTTTATTTGTCATTATTATTTTTTAATTTGCTACAGGGCACGTGTGCTCACCAGAGAGAGACAATGAGAGAGAGAGAGAGAGAAAGAGGGAGAGAGAGAGAGAGAAAGAGGGAGAGAGAGAGAGAGAGAGAGAGAGAGAGAATGTGAGAAAGCAAAAAGCCAGGTCCAGTACTTGAACTGCTGTCAACCAAACCACCATGCCACCTGCTGACCCCTATTTTTAGTTAGCTTTTTTTTTTCTTTAGAGAGATTTTTGCTATAGGGCACATGTTTTCACTGGAAAAACAAAGAGAGATAGAGAGACAGAAAGTGAGAAATCACCCTCCCTCCCAGGAGGGTGGCCATGCCACAATCCCTTCTCCATTCTCCTCTTGGGATTTTGGGCACGCATGCACACATGTTAGTGTGAGTTTTAAGCCACAGGATTTGGGACTCAAACTGCAGTCTACTATGTGGGAGTTCAGCAACGTAATTATTAAGCCATCTGCTAGTCCCTTTAGTTAATTTTTACATATGGTGTGATGGGGATCTAGCTTTATTGTTTTGTATGCAGATATACAGTTATTGCAGCATTATTTGTTTAAAAGATTATTCTTTATTGAATGGTCTTGGCACCCTTGTTGAAAATTAATCAACCATAATGGACTTATTTTTGGACTCACTATTCTGTAAGTCTTTTTTGACAGAGAGTGTGTATGTTCACCAGAGAGAGAAAGAGAGAGAAAGAGGAATTGGGAGAAAGCACCCCCCATGGGGAGTGGTCACATTACAATCTCATCTCATTTTTTAACCCAGTAGGATTTTGAGCATTCATGCACAAATTCCTAGTTTGTTTTTCAAGCTGCCAGGGCCAGAATTCAAACTGCACAATTGGCCAAGTCAGATCTGTCTAGGCTCAACCACTAGGCCATGGTGCTGGCCTAATTCTATTGGTCTTTATTCTATTGGGTTGTTGGAAAAATGACACATTTTTCTGTGTTTTTCCATGCAAAAATACATCATAACTTTTCTGATGACCCAATATATTTATGCCAGTACCACGTACTCTTAATTATTGTAGTTTTGTAGTAAAGTAAAAACCTAAACAGTAGTTACTGTGGTAATTATTGGCTGTGTGGCCAAAGAAAAATTACATCTGTTCTCTTATTCTCTATTTTTCTTTTTAAAATAAGGATAGTAATGCTTATGTCATATGTAAGTTGTAACGAGTTACATAAGAACATTTTCCTGTAGCAGGTACTATTTTAAAAAGGGAGCCTGATGCTGGCACAGTGGTAATGCAGCCCTCTGTGGTAGTATTCCACATGATGTAACATGGTCCAGGGTTAGTGTCCCAGATATCCCTGTGCATGATCAGCTGGCTGAATCTGGGGATGGATTGTGGTGTGAGGATCCTGGTAGAGGTGTTACAGAATGTAAATACATCAACTTTTAAATGAAACCAAAAGTCATATTTCATTTTCTAAAATTCAGTGTTGTAAACTGATATTTACACCTCCAATATAGTACATTTTGAAAACTTGAATAGGTTCAGTATCATGAGAATATGGTGGGCAAAAATTTTTGTTATCTGGCATATCTTTCTATGGTAATTACTTTGTGTGAGGTCTTGGAAAAATTATATAAATTATTTCTTATTCTGATTTTTTTCTTTTTTAATTAGTTTTTTAAAATATTTTATTTGTTTGTTTTTAAATTGCCAGGAGGTGCATATACTCACCAGAGAGAGTCAGAGAGAGAGAGAGGGAGCGAGAGAGAGAGTAAGAAAGCAGTCTTCCCCCACGCCTTGGGGCACACAGTCACACCGCTATCCCTTTTCTATTTCTCCCTCCTTTCAGGATTTTGAGCATGCACACACACATGCTTGGTGTGTTTTAAGGCTCTTGGATATGGGACTTGAACCACACAGTCAACTATGTGGGATCCAGCTCCTTGACCATCACTCCGCTGGTTGTCCCCTAATTTGTTTAGAATAGCAGTTAAACCTGAAAACACATTTTACTTTTGTACCCAGATACTGGAATTTTTACATTTATATTTTGCTAGCTTCTCTAAAATAAGATCTTCATAGTGTTATTTTCATTTTTTTAAGAACAGAAACTTCATGTTCAAAAGGATATAGGGGGACCAGCAGTTAGCGTAATGGCTATGTCGCTGGACTCCCATGTAGTCGACCGCGGTTCGCATCCTGGACCCGGTGGCTTAAAACTCATGGCGGGCGCATGTGCGTGCGTGACCAAGATCCAGAGAGGAGAATGGAGGAGAAGGGATTGCGGCGTGGCCATCCCCCCTGGGGGGTGATTTCTTGCTTTCTATCTCTTTGTCTCTCTCTGGCTCTCTGGCGAGCGCACGCGCCCTGTAGTGAAAACTTCTCCAAAAAAAAAAAAATGGATATAGGGATATTAATGCTTATATCATATGGAAGTTGTAAAAATTGAGACCTTGTCTCTTTGTGGTAGATATTGATTAAAAAGTTACATACTGGGGTCAGCAGGTGGCGTAGTGGTTAAGGTGCTGGTTTACCACATGGCCGACCTCATTTTAAGTCCTGGGCCTGGCCACTGGAAAATCAACCTGGTTCTTGTACATGCATGCCCAATATCTCAAGAAGAAAATGGAGGACAAGGCCATTGTGGCATGGCTATCCCCTCGGGGAGTGATTTTTCACTTTCTTTCTCTTTTCCATCTCTCTCTTCCAAGTGCATGGATCCTGTAGCAGAAACCTAAAAAAAAAAAAATACCAAGGACTTATAGACTCAGGTCAGTCTGTAGTGTGATGGTGAAAGTGGCTGGATCTGACATGACTGATTGTAAGGTTTGAATTTTGGACCTAACAGCTTAAGAAACACACTAGGTGTATGTGCATGCATGCCCAAAATGCCAAATGGAGAAGGGATGTGGAGTAATTATTTCCCGTGGAAGGGCTTTCTTGCTTACCAGCTCTCTTTCTAGCGAGTGCATACTCCCTTTGGTAAATTAAAAAAGGAAAGAAAAGAAAAGAAAAGAAAAGAAATTACATACTCAAGTGTGTGAAAATGTAATTACATCACCATTTTTAATTAAATAAATAGGATTTGCATTATTATGACTATCCAAATATAATTTATTGATAGTCTATGCCATCTACTGGCTCCACACCTCTTTGCTTGTGTAATCTCCCCCATCCACTTTCTCCTGGAGTTAACAATTTTTAAAAAACTTGTATATTTTCTATAGACTTATAATTTTCTCCTGTATAAGCCAATATTTCTGACATAACCTATTAACTAAATTTCAGTAACCTTAGTTTCTTCATTAGAAAAATGGAGATAATGGGGCCTATGGTGGTTGAGGTGCTGGAATCCCACATGGCCAACTGTGGTTCGAGTCCGGAACCCGGCAGCTTGCTTTCCTACATTCTCTGTCTCTCTGTGTCTCTGTCATCAAATTAAAATAATAAAATGGATAAAATCAAATAAGTAATTATAACAAAATTTAAAATAGGGTAATAATGCCTATCTTGGGGTTATCATCAGGTTAGGTAAAGTAAAAGTGCTTAAAACAGTATCTAGCACTTGGTGCTCAATTACTGTTAGATATAATAATATGTTTTTAAAAAAATTATAGTTCTATGTAAAGTTCTATCATTTTATGCAACTTGAAACTAGTAAATGATAATAAATAGTATACTCTAGTTTTGCTGTTGAAGTACTTATTTTTGCTCCCTTTTTGCAGCTACACAGCTACTCTTAGCTACTACCCAAATTCTCCAGAATAATCTAATTGATGTCTCTGATCTCAAGACAATATTGACCAATGATGGCCTTCATACAGCTAATGTTGTACTTAATGAAGTACTAAGACATGTACCTGAACATGGTTAGTAGTTTCAAGGCATCTATCTTGTAAGGGGCATCCTCTGTTGGTGGAGGTGGAAGGTGTATGGGTGGGACACCCAGGAATGGAGGGCACCGTATAGGAGCTGCAGTGGGATGACTGGTGGATACTGCCCTACTGGTGGATACTACCCCACTGGAGGATACAGCCCTACTGGTGTACTCACCCTAAACTCCATGTGTCTAAACAGAGGAGAAAATGAGGACCTATCCTGTCCCTGTGGGAAGCCAGTGGTCCTAGGAAGTGAGGTTATTTTGTGAATTGACTGATATAAGTAATGACAATGAGAATGTCATCCATAAACTGAAATGAGATTTTGAGCACCCTCTTGATAGATGTGAACCCTTTGGAAGCTAAATTATGGTGCTATCTAGGGATATTAGTTTTTTTTTTTTTTTTCATGATGGTGGTTCAGGGCAGTAGATATTTTAAATATATAAAATAATTTTATTATTATAATGACTGGTATAGCTGAATATTACCCTTAGGTTCTTAAAATGAGTTGTGGAATATTCTTTCTTTTTTTATTTTCTAGAAGAGATTTTTTTTTTTCTGAAGTCTTTAGTAGAATTCACAGGTAAAGTCACATGGATGAAGAGTTTTATTTGTGGAAGGGCTTTGGATTATTGATTTTATTTCTTAAATTATGGGATTATAAGTGTGTTTTATTTTCTTATTAATTTTGACAAGCTGTTTTTGTAGAAATTTTCCCATTTCATCTGCCATTTCAAATGCACTAAATAAAGTTGTTCTTGATATCTGCTTATTTTTTTGGTGTCTGCTACATCTATAATGATATCTTCATTTTCATTCTCAGTGTTAGTGGCTTGTCACTTTTTTTCCTTGATCAGTATTTTCAATTTTATGAATCTTTTGAAAAAAATTCAATCTTCATCTTGATCGATCTTATTTTTTTATAATTAATTTTTTTTTTTTGGAGAGATTTTCACTGTAGGGCGCGTGCGCTCGCCAGACAGACAGAGAGAGACATAGAGACAGAAAGCGAGAAATCACCCCCCAGGGGGGATGGTCACGCCGCAATCCCTTCTCCTCCATTCTCCTCTCGGGATCTTGGGCACGCACGCACACGCGCCTGGCGTGAGTTTTAAGCCACCGGGTCCGGGACACGAACCGCGGTCGACTACGTGGGAGTCCAGTGACATAGCCATTACGCTAACTGCTGGTTCCCTATAATTAATTTTAAAAAATATATTTTATTTTATTTATTATTAAATCTTATTTATTATTATTAAATCTTATTTGTTTTCATTGTTCTTCCGTTTTGACCAGAGAGAGACAGATAGACAGAGAAAGTAAGAAAGCAAGCTGCCAGGTCCAGGACTTGAACTGTGGTTGGCCATGTGGGAGCCCAGCCCTTAACCACCAAACCACCTACTGGCCCTGATCTTCTCTTTTAAATTTATTTCTTTATTATTTTTGCATCCTCTTCTGTAGTTTTTATCATTTCATTTTTTAATGTTTCTTTTATATTTTCTTCTCATCTATTTTCCAGACTATCAATTTTCTGGCTATTCCTATTGAATCTTCAAGTCTGGTCAATGTATTTTTTAGGTTTAAAATATCTATTTGAACGACCAGCAGATCACATAATGGTTACACTGCTGGACTTTCATGTAGTTGACCATAGTTTGAGTCCCAGATCCAGCTGCTTAAAATAAATGCTGGAAGCATGTGTATGTGTGCCCCAAATCCCAAAAATGGAGGAGAAGGGATTGCAGAGGGGCCATCCCCTTGTGGGGGATGATTCCTTGCTTTGTGTATCTCTGTCTCTCAACTGAGCACACATACCCTATAGCAAAAATCTTTTAGATATATATATTAAAAATAATTTCAAGTTCTCTGCTGAAATTTTCAATTTGTGTTTTACCTCCTTGGATAGCAAACATAATAATTTACTAGTCTGCTATTTTTTCCTGTTTGTTTCTAGTTTCTCCCAGGCACCTGAGCCACTAGTAATTTATATCCAGTTTCCGGGATTGTGATAATTCAAAGGCTAACTGTCATTTTTGCAAGGCCTATTTAATTTTGGTTAACCCTACTCCAACTCAAGTCAGAGGCATTTACCATAGCCCTCTCCAATTGTGGATCATGGATTCTGATCCTTGTCTTTTTAGCCTTACAAGGCTTTCAAAAGTGTCGCACATCCTTTTAGACTTCCAGTAGCATCTTATGCAATTGGAAAGTGTCCCAGGGGAAAAACAGCCCCAAAACAAGTCTTATCTATTCTGGCTCTCTTACTTACTGTACGTCCTATTTTGTATAATGATTCTATTAACTGCAGATATAAACTTGTTAAATCTTCTATGTAGTTTCTGTATTTCTCCTTGTATTTTTATAAATTTCTGCTTTGTTTATTTTTTCCATTCTCTAAATTGAGGTATAGTTTATATATAGTAAGAAGTATAATTCTTAAGTGTATAACTTAATACATACACAAGAATTATTTGTCTTTTTTTTTTTTTTGGAGAGATTTTCACTGTAGGGCACGTGCGCTCGCCAGACAGACAGAGAGAGACATAGAGACAGAAAGCGAGAAATCACCCCCCAAAGGGGATGGTCACGCCGCAATCCCTTCTTCTCCATTCTCCTCTCGGGATCTTGGGCACGCACGCACACGCGCCCAGCGTGAGTTTTAAGCCACCGGGTCCGGGACTCGAACCGCGGTCAACTACGTGGGAGTCCAGCGACATAGCCATTACGCTAACTGCTGGTTCCCACAATAATTATTTGTAATAGTAATTCAAAATAGTAAAAAAAACTAGAACAACTCAAATTTTCATGTAAGATAGAATGAATAAAGTGTGTTCATCTTCAAAAAGAATATTAAATGATAAAGAATCAACTACCACAATTGAAAGATTACAAATGAACCTCAAATCTTGAGATTTGGGGCATGTAAATGCATGCACCTGGCATGACTGTCAAGCCCCTGAGTCCAGACACAAACTGTGAAGTCAACTATGTGGGATCCAGCTCCTTAACTACCATACCACCTGTTGGCCCTTAAAATAGATTTTAATTCTTCCCAAATTGATTAAAAGTTTTCATTGCAATTATACCTTAAATTCAACAAGATTTTTCATGGATAGTTCTACAATTTATATGGAAGGTAAAATATAAAGGATATTTCCAAAGTAGAGTAGAGAGTGGAGGGACTGTACTACATAGATATCAGCAGATATCAGGACTTATGACAGAGTTATGATAATTATGATAATCAAGACACTATTGTATTCATGTTGATATAGGCAAATTGATTGTGGAATGTAATAGAGACCCCAGAAATGGCACACGCCAAAACAAAATTTTGAGAAATTTTTTTTTTTTGAGAGATTTTTGCTATAGGGTGTGTGTGCTCGCCAGACAGACAGAGAGAGACAGAGAGACAGAAAGTGAGAAATCACCCCCCCGGGGGGATGGTCACGCTGCAATCCCTTCTACTCCATTCTTCTCTCGGGATCTTGGGCATGCCCGCACATGCACCCAGCATGAGTTTTAAGCCACCAGGTCCGGGACGCAAACCGTGGTCAACTACATGAGAGTCCAGCAACATAGCCATTATGCTAACTGCTGGTCCCAAAATTTTGAGAATCTTGAAAGCAATAAGAGAAAAGAAACAGCATATATAAAGAATCACTCTTGAGGTCTACCAGTGAACTTCTCAACAAAAGAATGAAACTTTTGGTGCTGGCTGGTGGTGTGGTGGTTGAGATGCTGGACTCCCACATGGTCGACAACGGTTCAAGTCCTGGACCTGGTGGCTTGCTTTCTCACTTTCCTTTTGTCTTTCTCTCTCTTTCTGTCTCTCTCTCGTCAACTTAAAAAATTAATAATAATAACAAATTAAAATTAAGTAAATCTTTTTTTAAAAAAAGAATGAAACTTTAAAAAATTTTTTTTGCTAGAGGGCATGTGTGCTCACTGGAAAGAGAGAGAGAGAGAGAGGGAGAAAGTGCAAAGCACTTTCCACACAGAGAATAGTCAAGCCACAGTCCTCTTTCCTCCTTTCTCTCTGCCCTAGGGATCTGGGGCACACATACACATGTGCCTGGCATGTTTCTTAAGTCACTGGGACTCAAACCTCATGTCAACCATGTAAGATCCAGCTGCATCAATCACCGGACTGTGGACCAGCCCAAATGAAACTTTGATAAATGCAGAATTCACATGTCAAATGGTTGGGGGAAATGAAGGACTGCTTAATAACTAGGGCTGGAAAAATACTAACTTACATATCAAAAGATGAAATTGGATTATTACTATACATTGTAGGCAAAATTCAACCCAAAATGGGTTAAGGACTTAAGTGTCTAAAGCAAAACTTGAAAGCCCTTAGTGGGAAATAAACTAGAATATCATTGGGTAGTAATGATTTTTTGAACAAAACACAGAAAGTATTAAATTTAAATGAAGATTGATATTTAACTGTATTAAAATAATCTTGTTCTTTAAAAGAGGCCTTCAAGAAGATGAAAAAATAGATTACAACTTTGAGAAATTATTCACAATTTATACATCTCATAAAGGATTAGTGTCAAGAATAAAGAACTTTAACCAATCAAGAACACAAGCAGCTCATTAGAAAATTGATGAAAAGTGTTAAACAGGTATTTTATAGAAGAGAAAACACATCTGACTAAAATTATCACATAAAGCAATATTTGATATTATTCATGATGAATTTGAGAATACATATAGGTATAATAAGATTAGCTTGAAAAGGAAGCAAAGGAATGGTGAACACTGGATTCATGATGAAGTGTTAGGGAAGATAGAGGATAGATTTGTACATGGAACCCTCTGGTTAGATGCCGACTATTAAGTCCTATCTTTTGTTTTGGGCAAAAGTTTGCTATTACTTATTATATTATTAAAGATTTTGAATGGGGACCAGCAGTTGGCATAATGGCTATGTTACTGGACTTTCATGTAGTCGACTATGGTTCCAGGTCCAGACCCTGTGGCTTAAACTCACTCCAGGCGTGTGTGCGTGCGTGCCCAAGATCTGAAAAGAGAAATGGAGGAGAAGGGATTGGAGCGTGGCATCCCCCCTGGGGGTGATTTCTTGCTTTCTGTCTCTCTGTCTCTCTCTGTCTCTCTGGTGAGCTCACATGCCCTATAACCAAAACCTCTCAAAAAAAAAAAAAAAAAGATTTTGGATGAATCAAATGAATAAAAGTAGGCCATGTGTAATGGATAATGTTCCAGGAACCAAGGATAATACTTATTCTAATTCTGTGCCTGTAACAAACATGTAGTTGAAAGTTAAGTCCATTCTGTTGTTTATTTTTTTCCCCAAGGACTTAATTACGTGCATATCAAGTCTTTATATGTTATCTGTCACTTTCTCTCTGGATTTTTTTTTTACCACCCCCCATTGGTTTAATCTTCCTTCTTATTTCCTTCATACCTTTTCTTATGATTCTTTTTAACATTTGTCCTAAATGACATTTAACTACAGTTTTAGTTGCATCCAGTCCTCTTAGATAACTTTATCTGAGTCTTCGTTTTTGAATTAACTTTGTGTTTCTATAGTCTGTTCTGAGTTCAGTCAGCTCTTATCTCACAACTTATTTTGTTGATTTCTGTTCTGATTTATGGTATTCTTTCATATTTGAAATTGGTTCACACTACTTAATTTATATTACTGTGTTTGTTATAATATCGATTTTGGCTTATATGTATATTCATCTACTGAAAAGTTTTATTTTTCTTTTTATTTATTTTTGCTATAGGGCACATGTGCTCTCTAGAGAGCAGAGTGATAGGGAAAGTGAGAATCATCCCTTGGAAGGGAGAGATGGCCATGCTGCAGTCTCTTCTCTTATATTCTCCTCTCAGGATTTTGGGCACACAGATAAATGCTCCCGGTGTTTTTCAAGCCACTGGGTCTGGAACTCCAACTGTAGTCAGGCTTGTGAGATCCAGCCACCTTAACCTCCAACACCTGTTGGTCTGAAAAGTTTTATTTTTATTTTGCTTTCTTTTCATATTTATATGGATGCTAGGTTCTTTTCTTTTTCTGTTTACTTTTATTTATATTGGACTTCTCTGGACCAGATGAGCCTATGGAAGAGTTGAAGATGTTCAGTGACTTATCCAGTTCAGGAGTACTTTTTTCAGTTTCTAAAGTGAACTATCAATACATTTACTTTAATAAATGGCACCTTCTCTGAGGATGAATCTCCTTTCTGACTTTTTGGTACCATTTGGTAGAGAATTCATCTTTCATTGCTTCCTTCTTTAATTTGCAGCTCCATGCAATACTGTTCACTTTCAGAGTTTGTAGAGAGATTAAATTTAGGTGGCTTCTATTACCCTACAACAGTGCTTCTTAACATTTTTTTCATTATCACTCCTTTAAGGAGGCTTATTAGACTTTTTCTAATCATTCCTTCCTGAAAATTTAATACTACAGAGTACTACATATCTGTCTATGTATTAGGACCACAAACCATTGTAATATTTAATATTTTTTCTCTTCCTCTAATAATGAATTTTACCCTTGTGGTGATACCACCCCCATTAGGATGCATGTCCTAAAGGTATCTTAACTTTTTTCTCTGATTTTTGTACTGTAGAATTCTATTTGATAGTATTACCGGAAACTTGAACACATATGTAAGTAATATTGGTATATGTCCTCCCACCTCCCTACAATGTTACATTTATTCTATAGTTTTGTAGGCAATTAGTAGCTATTGCAGAGTGTAACTTTATGGGAATGATCAGAGGTTTTTTGTTTTGTTTTGTTTTTTAAAAAAACAAAGACCTCCTTTGTCACATTGTGATAAATAAATGGAAAAGGATACAATTGGTGATACTGGTTTTTAAAGATGACATTGTAATAGCATAGGCATTAATTAAGGTAATGAAAATCTAAGAAGTATTTGGCAATAGAGGAACAGAAACTGATCCCCATATACATGTAGGAAGTAAGGGAGAAGAAATAGTCCAGGCTGACTCCTAAGCTTTTTTGTTTGTTTTTTGGCTGTCTCTACATTTTTGGTGAAGTGTCCAACTTTTTCTAATTGTTTTTTATTATAATTTTAATCAACACATGGTCGTACATATTTATAAGACATAGTGTGATTTTTCAATATAGGAATACAAAGTAATGATTAAATTAGGGAAGTAAATGAAATAAGCCAGGCACTGAAAGACAAATACCATATGTTCTCACACATTTATGGAAGCTAAAAAATTCAGTTGCATAGAAGTGGAGTCTGAATTCCCATCAGAAGCTGAGAAGAGGTTACGGGGTAGGTAGAACTTTGTTAACAGATACGAGAATGTAAGCAGTTAAGTAGAATGAGTTCTAGAGTAGTATAGCACAATAGAATAACTATAGTTGGTAGCAATTCAATGCTTATTTCAAAATAGTTAGAAAAGAGAATTTTAGATATTTATATCACAAAGTAATGATGAATGTTTTAGATGATGGATGTGTTTATTGCCTTGATTTTTAAAAATAGTTAATTTTATTCATGATAGCATATGCACATGCTTAAGAAAGAAAAAGAAAGGGAGAGAGAGAGACAGAGAGAAAAATACTCTCGACAGGGTTTGGTCACTCTGTGATCTCTTTCTCCAGCTCTCCAGCTCCTTAGGAACTTGGCTAGGTGCCCATATACACTCAGTAAGTTTTAGGTTGACTGGGATTCTTATGGTCAGCATGGTACAGTTCAGTACAGTACCAACTGTGTCTCGAAGCCTGAGTCTATTGCCCTGATTAAATCATCACACATCATATTCATGTATTGCCTCCCAAGCTTTTAACCTTTTTTATAACTAGACTGTTAGCTTCAGCTATATTAATTAATTCTTCCACTTATCTAAATTTTGCTTTATATTACAGAAAATGGCAAGGTTACTATTCAAGAATTTATGACTAAGTTCTCTGATACATTGATAACTCCAAAAGCTGCTGGTGAGTTTTATATAATATGTATTTATCGCCCATAGGGAAAAACAGAAGTAGTTTACATGTTTAAACAGTATAGGATTAGATAATCAAAGCACAGGTAAATGAAAAATACAACAAAGCTAAAACAACACAAGATTAGCTTATATAACTTGTGTTTGAATTATAAGCAAATGTTGTCAAGTTTATCTCCAACTCAAAATTTACTTGATAATGCCAGAAAATTACAGATTATGTATTATTCCCTGAGGTTATTCAGTATACATATTTGACTTCTAACTTTATTAGGCAATTATAAATTACTATAAATGACTTATAAATTAAAAATTTTTAAACTTTTGGCAAACCTAGTATAGTAGATTTAATGACTATCTCTTATGCTTGGATTTATTTTCCACTACTGTATAAACTATATTTTTTTTCAAATTTTCTATTGAGGTAAAATTTACATATAATAAATTTCAACATTTTTAGGTGTATAGATTTTTGAATTCTTAATGTAACCATTACCACAAACAACACCTGGAATGCATCATGCCAAAATGTTCTCTTGTGCTTTTTTATAATCCATTTCCTCCGTTAACCCTCAGCCCCTAGTAACCATTGATTCATTCTTTGTTCCTATAGTTTTGCCTTTTCTTGAATGTAATTGGTATCATAAAATTTGAAGATGGCTTGAGTCTAACTTCTTTTACTTTACATAACAATTTTATATTCATCTTTTTTAAATATGAAGTTTGATTTCTTTTATTGTTCAGTAGAATTTCATTTTATGATTATACTACAACTTGTTCATCCATTATCTATTGACTATCTAATAACAATAGACTATTGAGTTGTTTCCAGATTTTGGTTATTATGAGTTAAGCTGTTTTAATTTTTTTTGAGAGAGATTTTTGCTATAGGGCGTGTGTGCTCGCCAGAAAGACAGAGAGAGACAGAGAGACAGAAAGCGAGAAATCACCCCCAGCGGGGATGGCCACCCTGCAATCCCTTTTCCTCCATTCTCTTCTCGGGATCTTGGGCATGCACGCACATGCACCCGGTGTGAGTTTAAGCCACTGGCTCTAGGATTTAAACTACAGTTGACTACCTGGGAGTCCAGCGACATAGCCATTACACCAACTGCTGGTCCTATGCTGTTTTAAATATAAACATTTATGTACAAGTTTTTCTGTGGATGTATGTTTTCATTTCTCTTAAATACCTAGAATGGGATTGTTGAATAAATGACAAGTATATGTTTCAATTGACAAGAAACTGCCAAATTTTCTCAAAGTAGCTTTCTAAAGTGCTTTCTTCCCAGTAACATATGACAGTTTTATTTGTGCTGCATCTGACCAACACTTGACTATATTGGAAATTTATTATTTTTGTTTGTTTGTTTTGGAGAGATTTTTTTTCACCGTAGGGCGCGTGCGCTCGCCAGACAGACAGAGAGAGACATAGAGACAGAAAGTGAGAAATCACCTCCCAGGGGGGGATGGTCACGCCGCAATCCCTTCTCCTCCATTCTCCTCTCGGGATCTTGGGCATGCACGCACGCACGCACACGCGCCCGGCATGAGTTTTAAGCCACCGGGTCCGGGACGTGAACCGCGGTCGACTACGTGGGAGTCCAGTGACATAGCCATTACGCTAACTGCTGGTTCCCTATATTGGAAATTTTTAAAAAATAGCCTTTTAATATTTTTTTTTAAAGAGGTTTTTGCATTAAGGTACTTGTGCTCACTGGAGACAGAGAGAAGGAGACAGTAAGAGGAAAGTAAGAAATTACTGCTCATATAGGATGGCTATGCCACAATCCCTTTTCCTCCATTCTCCTCCCAGGATCTTGGACACACATCATGTGTTCCCAGCATGAGCTTTAAGTCACTGGGTCCAGGACTCAAATTGTGGTCAGACATGTGGGAGTCCTGTGACGTAACTGCTTCGTCATTTGCTGGTCCTCCAAAAGGAACATTTTTAACAGATACACGTGGTATTTCATTTTCTTATGAGTAATGATGTGTTTGTTAGTTTTTTCATTTCGTTTTGAGGCTGTTTCTGTATCTTCTTTGGTGAAATGTTCAACTTTGTGCCAGTGTAAAAACTGAGTTGTTTTTTTTCATCTGAGTTGAAAAAGTTCTTCAGGTATTCTAGTCAAAGTTATTTATTATGTATATGTTTTACAAATATTTTCTCCCAATGGCTTATCTTTTCATTTTCTTAACATTGCTTCCCAAAAAGTTTTTAATTTTGATGAAGTAGAATTTGTCAATTTCTTTCTCTCTCTCTTTTTTTTTTTTTTTTGGAGAGGTTTTTGCTATAGGGCATGTGCACTGCTCATCAGAAAGAGAGAAAGGCAGAGAGACAGAAAGTGAGAAATCACTCCCCAGGGGAGATGGCCATGCCGCAATCCCTTCTCCTCCCATTCTTCTCTTGGGATCTTGGGCACGAATGCTCACACGCCCGGCGTGAGTTTAAGCCACCAGGTCCGGTACTCAAACCATGGTTAGCTACATGGGAGTCCAGCGACATAGCCATTACACTAACTGCTGGTCCCTCTTTCTCTTTTTTTGAAAGTTTATCTCTTGAGAGAGAAAGAGGGATCCCCAACAGAGTCTTGCCATGCTGTGATCTTCTCCCCATCCTTTTAGTCAGCCAGGATTACAGGTGTTTCTTTTTTAAAAAATTTTATTAATTAATTTATTTTACATACTTTCACTGAACATCACCACAGCCTACCAAATGCAATTTTCCAGCCAGAATACACTGTAAAGTGGCTTAATCATACATGTTGTCATCAACAAATAATTTTCCATTTCTTGTTTCTTGTATGTATGTATATGCATACACACACACACACACACACACACACACATATATATATATATATATATATTCCATATATATTCCCCCCTCCCATTTTTCACCCTCTGCCATTTCCCATCCTCCTCCCACCCTGTCTCTGGTATCTGCAGTTGCTTTCCATTCTTTCTTTCCCACATTGTACTGATTCACAAAATATCTTAATTAATCTAAATATTTTCAATAGTAAGTTCAGCTCATATACATATATCTGTGAACAAAAGTTGACTTTAGAAATGAAACTCTGTGGGTAGAATGAATATACTATAAAATAGCACATAGCTGAAGCTGTATAGCTTGCTGTGGTTATTAAATAGGTATTTTTAAATACATATTTTAATTTCAAGAAAGGCAATTTTTAGCTTTAATAAATCAAAATCAAAGAATGTTAAGAGAACTTTGCATAATACTTAAAGCCGGGAAACAGGTTAGGATTCTGTTAGAATAGTGGGTACATGGACCTGTCCACAAAGATAAAACTCCTTAACACTGGAAAACAAAGCATAGAAGGTCAATAATGTTTTAGTCAAAAGTCATAAAATTCTATTTCACCAGTTCAAACTCCTGTACTTTATCTTCTGTTTTGGTCCAATCTTTCTATTTAAATTCTGGAAAATAATGTTCAACTCTAGACTTGTCCCTGAAATTAAACTGGCCATTTTCTTAGCTGTTTTAGAACTCTTATTTCTGTGTGTCTGTCTTTAGTTTTCCTGGGATAGCACTGCCTTCAGAACTTCTTGGAGAGCTGGTCTGGTGTCAGTAAAATCTTTCAAGTTTTGTTTATCTGAGAATGTTCTTGTCTTCGCTTCCCATATGAAGGATAATCTTGCCAGATATAATATTCTTGGTTAAATTGTTTTTCACTCTACACTTTGAATATATTTTCCCATTCTTTCCTTGCTCACATTGCTTCCGATGAGAGGTCCGCTGTTAGCCTGATGGAATATCCTTTGTAGGTAACTTGATGTTTCTCTCTTGCCAGTCTGAGTATCTTGTCTTTGTGGTTTTAGTCATTCTGGCTATAATGTAAGTCTTGGAAAAGATCTCTGTGGGTTGATCCTATTTGGGGTCCTTTGTATTTCTTCAGTCTGGATCTTTGAATGCCTCTCTAAGTTTGGGAAGTTTTCTTCAAGGATTTCATGGAATAGATTGTCAATGCCCTTATTAGTCTTCACCTTCTGGGATACTGATGATCTGGATGTTTGAATGTTTATGGTATCTAGTATTTCTCATATATTATTCTCATATTTTTGGGCTATTTACTCAGTCTTCATGATGGATTTTACTAGTCCAGTGATCCTGCCTTCTACATCTGAGATTCGATTTTCTGTATGATCTAGTCTGCTTTTAATATTTTCAAAGGAAGTTTTGACTTCCGGTATTATAGCCTTCATCTCCAACAGTTCCATTTGATTCTTTTTTATAGTGTATATTTCCTCTTTCAGTTCTCACAAGAAGAAGTTCCTCACCTCCTGAAACTTCTCGGCTTTTTCTACTGGTGTTCATTGTCTCTTTTCTATCTCTGTTAGTTTTGTCACTATGAGCACTCTAAATTTTTTATCAGACATGTCCATGAGTTCCACTGGACTGTCTGAGGATGAAGAAGAGTTATTCTTTTCTCTTGAGGGTGAGGTATTCTCTTGGTTTTGCATATTTCTTGTGCCCCTGTGGTGATTTTTAGTCATCTGATGGGTCATTCGTTTCTTCCTAAATTCTAGAAGATCAATCTGAATGATCAGAGGTGCACAGGAGGATGTGGTCTGCAAAATCTTTGGCATTGCATTTTTGTCCCTTTGTGTTGCAGATTCAGTGGTAGTTGACAAATATGAGGACCCAAATAGTACTTGGATTTTGGCAACTTTTCACTTAGACTTATCTAGACACTCAGTGGGTGGAGGCTGAGCAGCAAAGTGATGAGGTAAAAGAAAAAGGATAAGAATACAGAGAAAGAAAGAAAAAAAGAGAAAAACAGAAAAAGCAACCAAACAAAAAATTATTTGTACATTTTAAAAAACAAAAAGTGAAATCTCCAGATCTAGCTCTCATGGTGGACTAAGTCTTCTTCTGGCCTCCCCTTTCTGCTTGTCTAGATGGGAAGGAGAAAGGAGAGGGGACTATTACCAAGATAAAGGAAGATTTCACAGCCAAGAAAAAGACTTTACCTTAAAAATTTTTTTAAAAAGAAAAATTAAAAAAAGAGAAGACAGAGACAGAGAGACAGTAAGAGACAGAGAGAGACAGAGTGAAGGATACAGGGGCTCTACCAGGGTAAATTCTCAGATCTTCTTTGTTGCCTTATCTCCGAAATCACTAGCTCTCAGCTTCATGGTGGACTCAGTCTTCTTCTGGCCTGCCCTTTCTGCTTGGCAGGGTAAATTCTCAGCAGATCATTTTCATTGCCTTATCTCTGAAATCACTAGATCTCAGCTCTCATGGTGGACCAATTACAGGTGTTTCTGTAGGGATCCAAAACCCAGGTCTTCCCATATGCCTTCAGTATTATTCAATGGTGCCCTTCTACCTGTTACACTATGCTGGCCATCAGTCTTTTTCTTTTATAATCTATTCTGCTTACATCTTTGTAAGAATTGTTTGCCTAACCTCAGGTTGTAAAGCTTTTCTCCTATATATTTTTTCAGAAGTTTTATTGTTTTAGATTTTAAATTTAGGTTTATTATTCATTTCAAGTTGATTTTTGTCTTCAAGTTTGAATTCTTTCTTTTGCTCAGTCAGTTCTGTTGATGTTCTCTATTGCATTTTTTCATGTCATACATTGTATTCTTCAACTATAGAATTTCTGTTTGGTTCTTTTTTAAGGTTTCAATCTCCCTGTTAACCTATTTTTTTCCTTCAATGTATTTTCCTGATTTTATCGTGTTGCCCTTTGTGTTCTTTTGTAGTTAGGTGAACTTTCCTTAAAACAATTACTTTGAATTCTTTGTTGGGCAATATCTAGATCTCCATTTCTTTGGGCTTAGTTACTGGAATAGAAATTATTATATCCCTTTGGTGATGGTATGTTTTCCTTGTTTTTCTTATTTCTTATTGCCTAGAATAAATGTCTGTATATTTTATAGAGCAGTTGCCCCTTCTAGACTTTGTAGACTGGCAGTGGGAAGAGACGTTTCCCT